ACTATGGTAGGTATACAGGCGATCTCGGACACTATGGTGGGTATATAGGAGACACTATGGTAGGTATACAGGAGATCTGGGAACACTATGGTGGGTATATAGGAGACACTATGGTAGGTATAGAGGAGATCTGGGACTCTATGGTGGGTATGTATATATATATATAGGAGACACTATGGTAGGTAGGTATAGAGGAGATCTGGGACTCTATGGTGGGTATGTATATATATATATATATATATAGGAGACACTATGGAAGGTATACAGATCTGGCCCCTGGCAGTTGGTTGGTCCTCCAGGAATGATAGGACCGTATTGTAGGAGGTATTCCTGTAGCACACTATAGCACAAAGTACACAGACATGGACTGGATGTTTCTACATCTACAATAGGAAGGAGGAGGAGAGCTATGAGGATCCTCCCCTCTCACTCACCCACACTGGCTCTGCTCCCCATTTCTGCCCACCTGCTCTGCTCCTCCCATCCCGTTCAATCCTCTTGTCCAATCACAGGCTACTCCTGACGTTGGTAGGCGGGGTGCAAAAGAAGACAAGCAATGGAACCGAGCTCGCGCCTCCTACTTGGACCAATCAACACACACGTTAGAGGCAAGTGACCAATCAGGAGAAAACATCCCAGGTATCATGCGAGAGGCTTACGTCATGTACCGGAAGATGGAGCATAGTGGTCAGCCCCACTTCCGTCTGCAGGTGGGGGACGAGGCCTGCCCTACTTCCGGTGTCTTTACAACCTACTCACCGCCCAGAAAAAGTCCCTTGATGACTACGTCATGTAGTTAAGAAGTAACCCGGAAGTGCGAGAGAAAACATCTGAGGGGAGGTTGTTGTGAGGAGCCGAGTGGTGTGACTGTATCCTGGTGTTCCAGATACACAGAGCTGGCTTCACTCAGGAGGTGAGTACATGGTAGGAGGTGTATGGAGGCCTGAGGGGACAGGGACTGGGGGCTGTAGAGGTGAGGGGGGCAGTACAGAACTACAAGTCCCAGCACTAAGACTGTCTGTTCCCCATAAGATGGTATTAGATATCAGATTCCTGACATGTTTCAGTCACCAGGGAAGTGCAAAGATGTGAGGAATGTCCGAGGTGCCAGCAGCCATATCACTGAATGAGGTTTACTGCCTAAATCTCTGTGTATTATATACAGTGTCCTGTGTTGTTGATGCTGAACTTTAATCTACAAATAAAAACTTTCTATTTTCATTAAACACTTTATATTAGATCTAGTGACATCATCACTGGGTCTCTGTGCTCCTCTATGCAAAGCAGGCAGACCATGGCTGGTGGGAGGGACCAGCTGGGGGCTGTACATAGCTTCATGAAAGCCTTGCAGCCCCTTCCCCAGTACTGATACAAGCAGCGGGCTGACACTGCATAGGAGTTTTACAAATTTCAGAATGTCTTGATGGATGGGTGTCAGTCTGGAGATGTGGGCGTTCCTAGGCAGGCTGCATTTGTATACAGACCAACCTAGGTAATGCTCTTATGTGATGCTGAGCCACCATGAAGAAGAACTGAAATCCAATGAATAAAAGAGGGTGGGCCAAGGACAGTCAGGCTGGGGAGGAAAGTACTAGATAATGCTGGACAACCTCCAGCCAGCAAATTCGGTGGCCTTTATCTGACGTGCTGCAGCTTCTAACTCCCTTTGTGAGAAGCTGCTGACAGTGTGCGGGGAAATCTGACAAGGCTCTGTGAGGAGGGGATGGTGCTGCCTGTCAGCAATGTGTGTGTAGCTGCTGATCTTTCTGTGCAGCTCCACGCAGATCATACACAGTGCAGCCATCCCTCACTTGTGCCCAGCGGGCATCGGTCCGTGTCCAAGCAGTGCCCAGCGGCATCGGTCCCTGTCCAAGCAGTGCCCAGCGGCATCTGTCCCTGTCCAAGCAGTGCCCAGCGGCATCTGTCCCTGTCCAAGCAGTGCCCAGCGGCATCTGTCCCTGTCCAAGCAGTGCCCAGCCCCTGTCCAAGCAGTGCCCAGCCCTGTCCAAGCAGTGCCCAGCCCCTGTCCAAGCAGTGCCCAGCCCCTGTCCAAGCAGTGCCCAGCCCCTGTCCAAGCAGTGCCCAGCGGCATCTGTCCCTGTCCAAGCAGTGCCCAGCGGCATCTGTCCCTGTCCAAGCAGTGCCCAGCGGCATCTGTCCCTGTGTCCAAGCAGTGCCCAGCGGCATCTGTCCCTGTCCAAGCAGTGCCCAGCCATCCCGTGTCCAAGCGCCCAGCGGCATCTGTCCGTGTCCAAGCGCCCAGCGGCATCTGTGCCAGTGTAGCAGTACACAGCGGCGCCTGTCCCTGTCCAGCAGTGTCCAGCAGTGCAACATCAACATCTGCTGGCGTCCCTAGTAGACCTTCACAAAATGTGATAGGTAGTATGGAAATCGGATGTGTAATTTATCCCCCTATAATGCCTGAAGCTGCTCCTTTGATTTTGGGCCCCTCTATGTGGCTATCCTCTTACTCAGGAGGAGTAGCAGAATGTATTTTTGGGTGTAATTACAAGTATGCCAAATGCCGTGTGAAATAAGTTAAAATTTCAATTTTGTGGAAAAAAAATTGTTTAATTTCTTCATTTTCCAAAGAATTGTGGGGAAAAATTTACATCTTCAAAAAACTCACCGTGCCTCTTACTAAATACCTTGAACTGTCTACCTTCCAAAAAGGGGCCATTTGGGGGCTATTTGTACTGTTTGACATGTTAGGGCCTCAAGAAATGAGATTGGCCAGTATTCAGGTATACGTACCATACTATAACTTCCACACAGACCAGATAATGTACACTGATTGGGGTTACTTTTTCCCAAAGACATGCAGCAGAATACATTTTGATCAAAGTCTATGAAAAAAAGGTACTTATTTTATAACAAAAGCTAAGAAACTCATTTTGTTTTAAAATGTTCGGTATTTTTTAATTTAGCAAATTACAAAACCCAGTGGTGATTTATTGCCACCAAAAGAATGCTCTATGGTGTGAAAAACATGATACAAATTTCATATGTGTACAGTTTTGCACGACCGCATCATTCAAAGTGTGAGAGCTCTGAAAGCTGGCCTGGGCAGGGAGGGGCTGAAAGTGCCCAGTACTGAGGTGGTTACAGTACATAGGGGATCGAAAGTTTGGGCACCCCAGCTAAAAATTTGTATTAATGTGCATAAAGAAGCCAAGGAAAGATGGAAAAATCTCCATGTATATGTCAGGGCAAAACAAAGCCAGCAATCCCTTTTCCCCTCACTGCTGTTCTCCGGCCAGGTACATACCTTTTTTGAATGGGGAAAGCTTTTCCAGTGTAACTGTTAGAGCCCATCTCTGGGATTACCTCAAGCCCCTCCCCAAGTCATGTGACTCCCCAGCATCAAGTCCTCCTCTTTTGTGTACTCCCTGCATTGGTCCTTCTGTGAGTGTTCTCTGCACTGCCTGCGTGACAGACAGTTCCTATTGGTCAGTCCAGTGATGGCGTTCTCAAAGGATCCAGAAGGGGGTGTCTGTTTTAGATGCATCTGCAGTCCTCATACATGGAAACAACAGGGACCTTAATGTGGGGATTTAGGTGAATATGCATTGCTTCACCAGGCAAGAAAAATAAAATGTCTTAAGGGTTGTTCACACTTGACTTAACAAATGCATATATAGTGTTAGTGCGTGTTAGTAGGTGCGTTTGATGCTAGAGAGCCGCAACCTGGGGGCTGACACCATGTTAAAAATGCTCCCCAAACTCTCCATTTCGTTTTTGGCTTGTTTCACACCGATAATAAACTGTAATGTTATTAATGTGCTGCAAATGCTTGCCAGTGCGTTTGCAGAGCTTTACTGTAGACTTGAATGGGAGGCATTGAAAGGCTTCAAACTCCTCCAGACTCGACGTGAAGCTTCAGTTTTGAAGTGACGCTTAGGATTCATGTTTTGTTAATGTAAACAGTCCATAGTATCATTTTGTATAGTCAATTGAGGAGCATCAAAAATGCCCCTCAAATGCCTGCTTTCAGTGCCCTAAAATATGGGTGAGAGGCGCCCAGAGTTGGGCTTTAAAGTGCCTAAAGCTAAAGCCTAAACCTCTTCCTTTTTTTTTTTCTCTCATTAGAGTAGGGAATGGGTAAGTCAGATTTTTTTTTTTCTCTGCCCCTTTAGGATGATTTTCCTTTTTTCTGCTTGTCTCAGCAGAGGCACAGCAAGTAGTAAGAGGAGATGTTACTGTAGAGAGGGGGTAGTTCCTCTTAGGCAGTTGGCACCAGCACTATTGTAGTCATTGGAAGGTTTCCCTCAGTTCCTGTTACTATAAATTTTACATTTATCGTTTTTTGGTCGAATGTCAGTGGTCATCAGAACCAATAGGGAGATAATCATCCCACAGACTGCAGTAAAAGCCATGAAGAAAAAAACAGCCCTCGGAGTAACCCTCACAATGACTTTTTTGAGATCATCATCCAAAGGTTTCAAAGAGTGGAAGCAAGCATAATTTGGTGTATTCTACCTTTTTTACTTCTTGTAACCTTTGGATGATGATCTGCTAAAAGTGGGTTTGGATTTTACTCTGTGAGTACTGGCTTTTTCTTCATGTACGTTTATATACAGTGTCACTGGTAGCCGTGCACTCTGTGGTTGTGGCAGCATGGGTTTGGTGCTGGATAGATTTGGCTACACCAACAAAAACCCAACAGAGGGTCCAACGTATCCAAAGCAGGTTTTTGGGGTTTTTTTTGGGTTTTCAAAAAAAACAAAAATACATACTCACCTCTATGCCGCAGCTGTCCCCTGCCAGCTCTAGGCTTGAGAACTAAGCGATCATATGACGGCTGATTTCTTGGTCTGCTCTGAGCAGGGAACAGTGATGATCGGTCACCATTCTTGCTCTACCCCTCGCCGCTCTTCCCCTCCACCACTCAATGGAGTGCAGAGCTGGTGAGGGGGCGGGTGCAGCTGGCTTTGACTCTCAGTTGAGTGCTAAGAGCTGGAGCTAGCTGTCAATCAAGCAGTTGGATGGATTCCATAAGGCTTGGATGCAGCTGCTCGGCCATTAAAACCCATTCCATGAAGCACTCTACGCACTGTTGTGCCAATCTGAAGGTCACACAAAGTTTGGAGGTCTTTAGCTATTGCCTCTGCAGACAGTTGGTGACTTCTGCGCACTGTGCGCTTCAGAATGCGTTGACCCCGCTCTGTCATTTTTACGTGGCCGAGTTGCTGTTGCTTCCACTTTGTTATAATACCACTAACAGATGACCGTGGAATATTTAGTAGCAAGGAAATTTAATGGATGGACTTATTGCACAGGTTGGTCTTCATTAAAATGGCGCCGATCGGCTTTTCCACCATGTGCTAGGCTGGGCCACAAGGAAATGGCACTGGTTTACTATATAAAGTGATTGATTGTCGGACGGTCCAATCGTATCCCCTTGATAAAGCACCATGACTAGTGACGAAACGCGTCAGTGAGGAGTGTGCGGATGACGTCCAACGTTGCCATTCATCGGGATAGCGGCCTGTAGTACTATACAAACGGCTCTTGAAACTGCATTACAGCAAGCAATAGCATTCATTGAGTGGGCTCGTGCTTTCCCTTGCAATATATCACGGATGGTGTCTGTTTTGAGCTGGTACAGGACTCTGCTGCTGAGAAGATACTGCCATCTTGTGTTTATTCAGTACATCACTGGATCTTCATCATACCTGGTGCAAAATACACCTCCGGAACGAGGGAGCTTACTTTGGAGTTTTCATTCAGTACGCTGATCTTCTGAGTCCATATGGGACCAAAAGTGCAGTTAGATCGTAACATTGGATAATGTGAGGTCACACTGCATGAGGTGAGTAGATATATGGTGGAGGATGTCTTTGAACGGGAATTGATGACAGATGCACATATTTTTCGTTATCCAAAGGAGGGTTCACTGAATGAACACTTTATTGATTGAACTTGATTTTTGATTGACATTTAATTGATTCATACTTTGAATTCAATATTTGAATTTCTTTGTATTTCTTCGTGTTTTTTTTTTTTTTTTATATACATATTTGTGTGTGTATGTATATATGCATGTGTGTGTGTGTGTGTGTATGTGTGTATGTGTGTGTATATATATATATATGTATATGTATGTATATATGTATAATATTATATATATATATATATATATATATATATAAATTTTCACTTTTTTTTTTTTTTTGGTAATATAATGGTTTGTACCATTGGTTTATGTAGCGCAGTTTTTTCACTTTTATAAATGAATAATTTTGCCCCACTGAGACATGGATTGTGTGCACTAGCAACTACAGCACTTTATTGTAAAAAAATAAATTAATAAATTTTGTTTTTATTTCTCCATAGTTAGCGCTTGAGTTATTCAATATTATATTTTAGACCATAATTGAATTCTCTGCTCCTGAGAGCGACCCATTCTTTCACAAATATTTGTAGAAGCAGTCTGCATGCCTAGGTGCTTGGTTTATACACCTATGGCCAAGGTGATGATTGGAACACCTGAATCCAATGATTTGGAGGGGTGTCCCTATACTTTTGACAATATAATGTTTATAGCTCGCTATTGGCTGTGTATGAGTCACAGGAGAGCAAAAGTAAGTGCGCTCCTGTGGCCCACAAGAGAGGTAAGGCCAAAACAAGTTTTGGCCATACTTCTTTTTTAACAGGCACACCATGTATTTTTCCAAATGACTGTAGCTGGATCTGGCAGGAGCTGCTTGCACATAGATGTAAGGAAAGCAGTCATTTCTGACTGCTCTATCTAATGTCAAGGGCACTGATGGAGAGTACCGCAGTGGAAAGGTGGAAGACCAGGCTGTAATGAGGAAGTCTTTTTTTTTTTTTTTTTTTTTTTTCTCTTTAGAGACCTGACAGGGTCTCTTAACAGATGAGTGTCTGGGGTAAGCAGAGCCCCACTGATGGTATGCCAGACTTACAGCTCCTTATCTTGTTCATTAGCTGAAATCCATTGCACTGGACGGAGAGGCTGACACAAAGCGAGTCTCCTAGGATATGACTGATCTGTGATCGTCTGACAACCACGTACACAATTCATCGTTTTTATTTGCCAGGTAAGACCAATGTTGTGTTATGTCATTACAGTCTTCCTTTAATAGTTGTCTTGCTTTAACTGAGTTGGTTTATAAGAGGGACCTTTCAGTATACATGTGCACATGGTCTTTGTATTTAAATACTTGTTCCTTTAATACTTGCATTTACCTTTTATTGTTCTCCATTTGTTTTATTATGTGCGGTGACCTTGTGTCATTTGTTAGTTGGATAACACAAAGTACTTCAAGAGCCATTAAACACTTTCCATCCACTGTCTGTCTATTGTGTGTATGTGTATTTTCTATATTTTTATGACGTACAGATACCTATTGTTGCTAGTGTCTGATTCTGAATGACTGACGTCTATCTGCGCCTGCCATTGGTTCCTAGTGAGTGACTCATAAACAAAGTGTCACTAAGCAATGGCGGCACAAGCACGGAATGACCTTGGCATTTGCAGAATCACTGAAAAGCCCGTACACATCTCACATGTGCTTTAAGTAACGTTGGTAGTATGGATCCCTTGTATCCATGTACTGTGGACACTGTAGGCAAAGCGACACACCCATACGTCGCTGCCTACTTCCGGGTATTGGGCGCATGCATGCATGCACCCCAGGCTGGAACTTGCTGTGATTGTACACGGCGGGAACCTGTCAGGAAATCCCGGCCAATGATTCACGGCTGGGACCTGCTGGTCTGCTGTGTATAATCACAGCCCAGAGCTCTGTGTTGACATTCAACACAGAGCTCTGTACACAGGCATCGATCTCTGTTTTTCATCCCTGGATATTTTATATAGCAGTTGGATATGTTTTATCACAGAAAGTAAAACACATACTTTTTTTTTTTTTTTGTTTCCCATTTATATAGCAAAGCGAAAAGAGAGCTCTATTTGTGTGAAAAAAAAAATTATATAAATTTCGGATACATCATTGCATGACCACTCAATTACCAGTGCAGTATAGCAAAAAAAATGGCTTGGTTATGAAGAGGGTAAAATCTTCTGGAGCTGAAGTGGTGTTTAAGGGCAAAATTAAGAAAAACAAATATGTAGTACATCTCTGCAACCTACCAATGCACATTTCCATTGTTTTAGCCTACTAAAGGCTCTGTAGGTACAGACAAGTACCTGTTATCTGCCAAATGTATATTCAGCTCTTAATTCCTGTTTTGGGCTGACAACACACAGTATTTTTGAGGACTAGGTGGTGTCAGCCCTGCCTAGTTTTTTTTTTTTTTTTTCTAAACTTCTCAAACCATTCTCTGTCCAGTTCTCCACAACATAAAGACTAATTGTTCAGTAGCCCCAAAATAAGAACTGGGAAGCCTTATTAGGCTTCTTGAGATGACAGGAAGTTCACGCGGACACAAGATGGCTCTGAATTGCTTAATAGATCGAGTATTTTTTGCACTTCTTGAGCAGATATAGCTAAACCATTTCAATGAAGCAATAAATATTTTGTGGTGCCACTCCAGGCTGAGGTGTAGAGCCCCATTGGCACTCAGGATAATAGGAATACTAGTGTAACTCTTCCAGTGAGCAATGAACATTTTAGCTTGAAAGGCTGAGTGGTGGTTTCAAGCTAAAATCCTTTCAATTGAATCATTTAAAGTGATTGTAATGGGTCAAGGTTTTTTACCTTCATGCATTCTATGCATGAAGGTAAAAAACCTTCACTTTGCAGCTTCCCCCTCAGCCCTCTCCTAATACTCGCCTAAGCCTCATCTCGATCAAGCAGTGTGCTCTGGAGTCTTCGCTATCCCGAGACTCCCTCTCCTCATCGGCTGAGAGAGCAACAGGAGTCATGGGCTCCCACTGCTGTCAATCACGGCCAGTTAGTCAATGAGAAGAGAGAGGGGGCAGAGCCAAGTCATGCCTCCATGTGTGAATGGACACATGGGTGCCCCCATAGTAAACTGTGTTCTGTGGGGGGCACCTGTCAGGAGGGAGGGACCAGGGGAGCCTGCAGAGCACCTGAGAAGTGGAGGTACCAGGCTGCTTTGCGCAAAACTACTGCGCAGCACGTGTAAGTATAGACATGTTTTTTTATTTTTAGAAAACAAAATTTAGGCCTTTAGTATGGCTTTAAGCCTAGCTCCAGGAATACAGTGACTTTAAATAGTTTGTTTGGACCAAGCTGGTCCAATTGAACAATATGCTTCGCTATGAGATGCAGCGTATAAACTGTATGTCTCATTTGCTACATGCAGTATATAGCGCTACGTTCCCACAGTGGTACAAGGATTTCCCATTCTGTTCCCAGGACAAAATCCAGACTGGTTGAGCACTACAAATTAACAGAAGGCTTCCTCTGGCTGAGGTGGGGATTGTGGCATCCCTGCCCCTCCTTTTCATTTCAATGATTTTTATTGATTTTTCCAAGAAAGTACAAAAATCGTCCTGTAAACATGTGATGAAGAAAACACAGTTCCAACTTCAAACACATCCAGGCACATATTGATGTAAAGAACAAAGAAAAGTACAGTAATATTTGTAAATGTTATGGAAGGTCTTGTATGCCGGGGTGTATCTCTAATATGCTTGGCATGCCAAGTTGGGTGTGAGAGAAAAGAAAACTGACTTCTCTGTTGTACCTTTGACAAGGCTTCTATAGCCAAGATACACTCTGCATGGCTCACATGGTGTGCAACAGGTTCTCCTTCTGGACTTCCCTGCGATATCGCCTGTTGCTCGCCATGGGACCAATTCTAGTCAGTGTGCCTCTTACAGCAGATAATGTAGAAATCACCCCCTAAGAAAAGGAAAGACTGGAATAAAAAGAAAATAAAAACTAAGAGGCGAGAAAAGGAAAAGAGGTGCGCCCTCCCTCCTCTAAAACCAGATATTAGTAAGCTATCCGAGTCACAGGGTGTCCGTTGGGTATCTGATCCATGGGTCCCAGGTTTTCTCAAAGAGGACCGGTTTGTCAGGTAGGATCACTGACAAGAATTTCATTTGTCATGATCCAAATCAACTTGGCCTTCAAAAGATAAAACGGGATCACAGGAGACTTCCAGGATTTCGCAATTGAGATTCTAGCTGCTGTAAAGGTTATAAACTGTCTCACATGTCTTTATGCCCCTTCTACTGGACTTCCCAGTATGGCCTAATGCAGAGCTTTAGTAAGATTAATCTGGGTGATTGAGTATACAAAATTTATGTGTACGTATCCAAAACCACCTAACTTTTGGGCATGTCCACTATATGTGGAACACTGTTCCCTCTTGGCCACAGCCCCTGAAGCAAAGGGGAGAAGCATCTGGCACACAGGATGCTATTCTCACTGGTACCATGTACCATCTTAAAAAGACCTTCTAATTCGCCTCTATTAATGAGGTATTGATGAAGGACTTAGAATTATATTGCACTAATTTACCCCATTCAGCATTGTCCATTGTCTCTCCCAGTTCTTGTTCCCATTTCTCCATGTAAGGTAGCTTAGCGGAATCAGAATGCAACAATAGATGGATTTTAGAGATAAGCGTATCATAATTCTTGCATAAGTGTTCCATTGGAGTGGAATTGGTCAGTTCCCGGCTTGTTTTAGGGTTGCAAAAAATTGTGCTATTTCAGTTTACTTACTGACCTCCTGCTGTGCCTGTGTGAATGAGCCATAACCATGAACGTTGCTTATTTAGACTTTTTTTTAGTCTTCTCAAAATATAATTTTATTTTGTTTAAAAATAAAAATAAATACCTGTTTGATCCTACCAGAATTCTTGTGATATCTCTACTACAGAACATCTCCTCATATGTTATGGAAATAAGGAGTGGTGGAGGTGTTCTGTAGTTCTCCCTTAGGCTGACAGTACTGCTCCTCTATAGGTGTAGTACGATGAGTGTTGTCACCCTAGGACAGTAAGCATGTTACTTGCAGTATTACTAGATGGAAGTAAAGGAAACAATTCAGAAAAAATCTAATACAGCCACCACATCTAGGTATTAGAAACACCTGGATTTTAGTTACTTTCACTACAGTGTTCTTTTTAAGACCAAACTAAGTTTGCTGCTCTAATATATTCATGTTGGACATGTAGTATATTACATATACAGTCTATTGTTGTGTGTCAAGTATATGGCATGCTGTGTCTGCTATATTTACCATCTCTGCCTTGGTAAAGACCTTGTATAGATTGAAAATGACAGAGCAAAGATGAGAACAAACAGCTAGTACAAAGGTAAAGATAGTGTTCTTCCACATAGCAATCAGCTTGGTACCTCTACAATTGAGAGCTATCCTGTGATGGGAAATGTTCAATCAGTATGCAGAACTTAGCAAAACTTCTGTTTCAGAGCATACAAGGAAGAATAACCAGATGAAGCTGTAATCTATGACCCGGTGACATATTAACACAGGGAAACCACCTTCTGCTTCTTTAGTGTGTCATCTGTCAATTGGGTTTGCT